TTTGTTTAGAAATAAAAATGTCTCTCTCTCTCTCTCTCAAGTTAGGTGTGGACCAAATTCACCAAAAACAAAAATCAAGTTTCAAAGGGACTAAGTTAACAAAGCGTTTCAAAATTTGGTTTAAAAGATCCCTTATGTTATTTTTTGGCTTTATAAGGGCATGAATTAACATTTAACCGGCTAATAAGACCATTTTCTAAAAGGTGAAGGGGTCACCCGGTGACCCCAATCCCAATCAGCAGCTTGTCTTCGACATGTCATTAAAAAAAAGCCAGCTCATATGTCCAAATCACATGCCACGTATAACTCTATCCATAAATGAGACCAACCCTTCCTATGCAAGAAATTATGTTCTTTAGTCGGTTTCATCTACCCCTTTCTTCTTTTTCCTTCTACTGTTCATCGAAAAAAAGTGTCTTAGATTCTTGCTATGGTTGTCTACATGAAGATAGATCTTCATTTTGCTAGTTTGTTTATGAGGTATCTAGTGATCAGTTACTCAGATGGAGTGGAGCAAAGGTTTGAGGATGTGGATTTTGCTGGAATGGACAAAAACGAATTTCTATTGTTCATTCAAAGATTCACAAATGAGACATGCGTTGATGTGTACTATTACATGCACGATATTGAGTTCCCTGAAGGATTGAGGATAATAGCAACTGAGAAAGACTACCAGGAGTTGATCGAAGTAGGGTGTGATTCTGGTTGTGTAATTTTTGTGTACATGGATCATATTGGTGTTAATGTTCATCAATGGATTGTTGATGAGATGGCTGAAGTATGCACCCCCGGCGACAAGTATTCTGATGCAGGTGACGTAATAGAAGATTTGCATGTTGAGATGGAAGGAGGTATTGAACTAGATGAAGTGCAAGTGCAAGGTAATTTGGATGATAACATTGAAGATGGAGATTTCATTCCAATGAACAAGACCTTGAATGATGTATTTTTAAACAAGCTTTGCCCCAAGGAGCATCCAACTCCAAACATTCCACCTCATGAGTATCCATATGATCAGATGGATGAACACGACCCAATTCATAGGGAGGTAACAGCTTTTAATGAAAATGTTCATTGGAAAAAGCAAAAACATGTGTTAGGAATGAGATTTGAAAGTCCTAAACAGTTAAAACATATGTTGTGTAATTATGATGTTGCTAAAGGGTATCAGTTGTGCTACAAAAAAATGATAGTAGGAGGCTTTTAGCTAAATGTTGTTCAGGGTAATGCAAGTTTAGATTGTGGGCTTCATGGATGAGTGAAGAAAAATCTTTCCAAATTAAGTCTCTTATAGATGAGCATAATTGTGCAAGAAATTTTAAAATGGGGTCTATTGTAAACTATGCATGGATTGGTAGCCATTTCACAACACAATTCTTACAAAAACAAAAAATGAGTGTTAGGCTACTAAAGGAAGAAGTAAAACAAAAATTTGGAATTGATGTTAGTATGGGACAATGTAGAAGAGCAAAGAAATATGCAATTGAACTAATTTAAGGCACACTAGTTGAGCATTATGCCAAGCTTTGGTAATATGGTGAAGAGATAAGAAGATCCAATCCAGGATCAACTGTCAAAATGGATGTCAACAGTATGCCTGATGGGAAGACATATTTTAGTAAGTTTTATATATGTTTTGAGGGGCTGAAACAAGGTTGGAAAGGAAGTTGTAGAAGAGTGATAAACCTGGATGGTTGTTTCTTAAAGGGATTATGTAGTGGAGAGTTGATATGTGTCGTAGGAAGAGATGCTAACAATCATATTTCCCTAATAGCATGGGCAGTTGTGTGTGTGGAAAACAAAGAAAATTGGAAATGGTTTTTAGAGAATCTTAAAGATGATCTACAAATGGAAAATGGTTTTCGTATAAACTTGATGTCAGATCAACATAAGGTATATCACTTACTATACAACTTCATATTTTTTGTTAATGAATTTCTTTTTTCTTAACAGATGAATTAAAATTGTGTATGGGCTATTGGAGGCTGTGAAGGAAGTATTGCCTACAGCTGAACACAAACAGTGTGCAAGGCATATTGTTGCCAACTTTAGGAAAAGATTCAGTGGTGTGAATTATAAGAGGATGTTTTGGAAGGCATGAAAAGAATCAACTAAAACCTTTATTCAATGCAGTCATGAAGGAAATACAACTACTTAATCCTAAAACATTTGATTACCTTATGGAAAAGAACCCAAAATCATGGTGTAGAGATTTCTTTTAGGAGGGGAGGATGCGTGATGCAGTTGAAAATGGATTATCTGAAAGCTTTAACAATGTCATTAGAGATGCAAGAAAAAAACCAATAATCACAATGTTAGAAGAAATTAGGTTGTATGTTATGGAGAGGCAATTCAATCTGAGCATCAAAGGTTGTTCATGACCTGATTATAAACCATGTCCAACCATTATAGTCCTATTGAATCAGTTGAAAAGAGCTCAAAGGTATTTCCTTTATCTTTGAATTTGAATTGAGTAGTTACAATTTAGACCCTAATTTATATACAATTGAAAGAGGTTGGCAGGTTTTACCTACTGGTTTAAACCATTTTGAAACAAGAAATTTGGCAGAGTCTTATGTTGTGGATATGGATAAGAAGACTTGTTCATGTAGAGTGTGGCAAATAAATGGGTATGGATGTGTGCATTCAGTTGCAACAATCTCATACCTTAGCAGTGATGTTGGTAATTATGTGGATCCAATGTACTATTGAGCAATTTATAAGAACACCTACAAGTATCTCATACGTGGAATGAATGGTAGCAACATGTGGCCACCTACTGAATTCATTGCACCTTTGCCACCATTGAAGAGAAAAATACCAAGTAGACCAAAAGTTAATAGAAGAAAGGATGCAAATGAAAGGGGTGCTAGACATACTGTGTCAAAGGTTGGGAAAACAATTATGTGTAGTGTATGCAAGCAAGTAGGACATAACAAGGTTACATGTTCTCAAGCTGAAAAGCCAACAAAACTCAAGGTAAAGAAAAGGAAGAAAGCAGATAGTAATGTTGGGGAAGGAAGCAGTGGTAAGAAGGCAAAGGATGGTAAAGATGAGCATGTTACAGATGAACAAGGAAGTAAGGGTAATAAGGGCATTAATGGTAATGTTGGGGAAGGAAGCAGTGGTAAGAAGGCAAAGGATGGTAAAGATGAGCATGTTACAGATGAACAAGGAAGTAAGGGTAATAAGGGCATTAATGGTAATGTTGGGGAAGGAAGTAGTGGTAAGAAGGCAATGGATGGTAAAGACGAGCATGTTACAGATGAACAAGGAAGTAAGGGTAATAAGGGAATTAATGGTAATGTTGGGGAAGGAAACAGTGGTAAGAAGTCAATGGATGGTAAAGATGAGAAAGGAGGTAGGGGTAAGAAGGTAATTAGCAAGAAAAGAAAGAAGTCTGAAAGAATAATCAAGAAAAAACTTGCTACATTGGTTGAGGGTAAAATTGGGGAAGGAAACACTATTGACAAGCCAATGGAACTTGAATAGGTATTAAATTTCTATGTCAGTTTCAGATTAAGTGTGGATGTTTGGTGTTATGTACTTCTTATTTAGGATCCAAGAGAATGTTTTGGATTAAGTGTTTCAGTTTGATGTTATGTATTCAATGTGGTTATGATTGGTGTTATGTTTGTATGATTGGTGATATGTTTGTATGGTTGGTGTTCTGTATGCGAAGTAATGTTAATGGTTTGAATGTGCTTATGATTGTGTGTTATGGTTATGGACGTGCATCATTTTGGGGTCCATTATTGACATTAGTCATGCGTATGGTCCCATTTATTATTGTTGAATATGGTCCACCTTTATTCTAGTTGAATATTGTCCCCATTTATTCTAGTTGAATATGGTCCGAAGCCATTATCAACAAATACACTACGAATCGAACTTGGGATCCCATATGACTAAAGCCATTGTTTTATGATTAAAGTACAATGTCATTATATGGGTAATATAATACCCCTAATAATTTCCATAAAAAGCAAATAAACAACTGCTAAGTATTAAAACTTATAAACAATTATGCCAAAGAAAACAATCCAACTTATAAGTAAAGACATCTTCAGCTTCCAAATCTTTTCTTCAAGCTTCTTTTTTGACCTAGCCAAACCTGCAATCATAACTGCTTCAACAATCATATTCTTAGTGTTTGCTTCATCTACCCAACAAATAAAACCATTACGAGGTCCCTAACAAAATCAATTTTCAAGTAAGAACTTGAGAATGAAACAAACAAATAAATTAGGGCTACTGTCTACAGGCGCCTAATAAACAAACTAACACAAACCTTAGTGGGACAAGCATAGAAGGGTCTTCCAGGGTTGGAGGGAGTGGAAGACATTCTTATTATGGCGACACATCCACAAGAGCATTTCACCGTTTTCGCTTCGTTAATTCCGAGAGCTCTTTACTTCAGAATGCAAACAATCATAGGGAAAAAGAAAGCTACTGCGGAGTAAGGCAGTAAAGTACTTATAAAGAAGAAATAACGAAAATACCCCTTGACGAAAATACCCTTTTTGTTTGACCTCAAACACATTTGTCATAGTTGGTGCACCAAACACAATTAATTATCATTAAGTAAGTCAACAAAATGTCCAAATCATTACCCTTAATCAACAACAATAACCCATTCATCTATTTACATTTCATAAAGATCATATCAAAACGCCTGTTACAGGTAAGCAGGACTTCAAAATACATCCACAAATTACCTTTACAACCACCACTTGAGTACCACTAACTACACAAACTGGATTACCACTAAGCACACGAACACACATAATCCTAATAACATATATGACAATAAAAACCATTAAACCTAACAGAAGATTACGACCACTATAGTATCATACCACTACAAACCACTTCCATGAGATTCACTTGCTGATTATCAAGTGAATGATGAAAATCATTAGCAGGAGCATCACGACGATAAGACCCACAACCAACAGTGAAATTGCTTTAATCTGCTTCTCAACCTTCTCGAACCTTTACTACATGTTGAGGACATCAACCCTGGAATGAAGGTAATCGCGACCCATCTCCTCCTTCATGCGCTCCACCTCACCTTTTTTCTCAGCTATCTTTTCACCACAGTCACAGAAGATCGTGTGCAAATCGTTCAAGTTAAGCCCGTTTGTTGAGCTTATCGAGTTATTGGAGTTTATAGTATCTGGTGATGCTGGTGGGGTAGGCTCCATGGAAGACAGTGAAAGGCAAAGCGAGTATTCTATTATTGGTTATCGGCTAGTGTTTGGCCGGAAGTGGTAACAAAATTTTAGGGTTTTGTCCAACAGACCCTTCAATTATATAGTAGGGGACCACTAAACCCTTAGGGCCCAAGCAAGCCAACTCGGTGGGTGAGTCGTTGACGTGTAAACCGAGTCGTGTGAGTTGACTTGCTAGCTTAGTTGGATGATGAGTAGGCAATGAAACCGTTTGAAATGGGTCAAAATCCCAAATTAACCGGTTAAATGTTAATTCATGCCCTTATAAAGCCAAAAAAATAACATAAGAGGCATTTTTAACCAAAACATGTAAGTTCGTGGGGCTATAGTGACATTTTCCCATTGATATATGTCTAAAACTTTTTGGACCTCATTCACATTTTTTTGAAAACCATTGAGACCAAATTTGCCCTTTACTTGTATATTAAATAACTTTTTATACAAAAAAAATTCATAATTATAAATTTATAATAAGTTTACAAAAACTGTACATCAACAATTAATAACAATAGTTTCACACATGATAAAAAAAGAAGAAAAACAAAAAGAAAAAAAGTTTTGAAAAAAAATGTCATAACACTCCATGGTGATCGAGAGGATGAGTCCTTGATTTATTTTTAAGTGTGATGTGGCAAAGCAAACTTGGATTTATTGTTAAATGGATTGATCTTCCTTTCACGTTCATTTCCAATATTTATGAGTTGTAGGAGTCGGTGGATGTCTTGGTGATGACTACTTGGAAAAGGAAAGCCGTAGTAGTGATAGTTCTTTCTTTGATTTGTATCCTTTAGTGGTACCAAAACTCTATGTTGTTTGCCATGAACATGTTTCAAAATCCTTTTCTCCTCCCAACCCCCACATTAGGGTGATATAAATGTTTAAAATGATTTTTAACAACAAAAAAAACATGTTATTGAAGAGATAAATTCCTAAACCTAAGTTGATTTGGTTTCCTCATTTATTTTTTTGATAGAGTGAATAAGATAATATAAACAAATATCACTTTAAGCTTCATTTTTGTTACTTAGGCTATTTTAAATTCATTTATATACCACTTGATCTATTTTCGACAAAAAACTCATCAGAATTAGTGATAACCCTTTAACTTTCTAAAATATAAAAATTAAAAGACCTTCATCATACCCCAATCCGTTGTCTTCATCACTCCCATCGACAATTCCCCCATTTTCCACCGACTTCATCCAACTGGCATACCCCATTGAATCCACCTTTGGAACCCTCTCGACCTTTTTTGTTACAATCATAATACACATACAAACATCGTTGAATACAAACACACATGCATGCAACGTTATAGTCAAAATTCAAAAGGTAACTTGATAAAGACGAGAATCATCTACCTTTGTGAAGTCAAAGCTCTGTACGTATAGATATCTTTCTAGAAAAAGAAAAATAGACTTTCGACGATGTTGTAAATCCGTAGATGTCATTGGAATGGAGGATTTCAACAAAAGTGTGGAGTATGAGGGCAGCGAGTGTTAATAATACCACATTTTTATCCAACAAAAACATAACATGTCATAAGAATTGTCGTATAATTTTAATATTCTAAAGACAAAACATCAATTTTATAATTAGAAAGCATCCCTAACTTCATATTTGAAATGTGGAAGCATAATTGCATAAGTAGTTATGAAATCAGTGGCGGAATCAAGAATTTTGATATGGGGTACAGACATTGCCATGTAGTTATCAAATATCAGACATTAAAAAATATGTTATAATTTTTTTAGTTCGGGGTATATTAACGTAAAACATGTTTACAAATAATATTTTTTTATATATAAAACAATTTTTTGGGGTACTGTAGTTAGGGGTGGCAACTCTCGATCTAACCCGTAACCCGACACTGACCCAACCCGAAAATAGACGGGTTTGGGTTGAGAATTTTGACTCGCCAACTCGTCAACCCGCCAACCCGTATATATATATATATATATATATATATATATATATATATATATATTATATATATATATATATATATATATATATAATGATATTTAATTAATAATGAAATTTGATTTTCATCCTATTCGTAATATTCCGTATCATTGTATTCATTCTGTATTCATATGTGCTAATCTGCATTTACGATTCGTTAATCAGAAAAAGAAAAAATACATGTCGTTATTTTTACGTTTCACGAACAAAGAACACATCCACTTTCTATGAATGTTTTCATTTTTCATTTTTATTTAGATGTTATCGATTTTATGAATTTATGTTGAAAACCTTTTTTTTTACGTTAATTACTTTAATTATTTTATAAATTTATGTTGAAATAACCACATTTTTTAAAATGTATTGCTTATATATTAAATGAGTTATATAGGTTGGATTTGACCCATTAAATTGTGAACCCACGAACCCATATACTTAAATGGGTTATATGGGTTGGGTTTGGTTGAAGTTTCCAACCCACCAACCCGTCAACCAATATATTATATGGGTTGGGTTGAGTTCATGTTTTCTGATCCTCCAACTCGCCAACCCGAACCCAACCCAATTATCAGGTCTAACTGTAGTACCCCCAACGTCACACCTAGCTCCGCCACTGGACCAAATGGACCAAACCCTCATTCAAAAAATTTAAACCGAAATTAAATGCACATAAGTAGCGACCAAAGGACCAAACCCTTATTCAGAACTTAAAATTTTAAATCGAAATTAAGATGCAAGTCATTATAACACTATTGTTTATGACTAGGAAACTACAAAACTAAAAGAAAAAAGTAATGATTTGAAAGATTAGGTTAGTTAAGGATTATAATAATGGTATTAAGTGTCGATTCTATAATCTAATCGGAGTTTGATAGAAAGCATTAAAATGTTTAATCAAAAAGCATTATCTTCAAAGTCACTTAGTATCTTTTATAATTTAAACTCTTTTTTGCTTGTTCATCGTCATACCTAAAAGCAAACACATTGAGAGCATCCCAAGCACCGATAACAATGTGGATTTGAATCGAGTGACAAGTGTTTCAGATAAATTGGGTAAAGGTTTTTAAACTTATTTAAAAAAGATATCGAGATTCCAGATCGGATTGCATGGTAACATTTTTTTATTAAATTCTTTATAATTCAATTGAAACAAATAGTGGTAGACTTCGTCAATTTATAGAACTTCACGTAGATCTTGCGAGCTAAATTTATCACGATGTGGAAATTTTGATCAGAAAGTGATGAACTTGCAGATTCACAATGTTGTTTTTGCGATATTGATGATGATGATCAATTCTTAGTAAAAAAAAGTTATAAATGGCTATGTTTATGTATAACTTCTAAGCATAGTCATTTTCGTGTATAGCTCTTGTGTAAAATGCTTACATTACATGTGCATAGTTGGTTGCATGCACATGAATGGTTTTTTATATATTAACAACTTGTAATTTGTTAAATAAAAAATTATATTTTTATTAATAGCTGTTAAGTTTTATTTTTTATTATAAATTTATACAAAGTTGAAGAATACGAATTTTTAGGTTGGGCATTTATCTCTTTATTTATTCCGTGTTTGAAGAGGAAATGTATCGTTAAAAAAAAATGGGATAACGATGACATGTTCTATCCTTTTTTGCCCTTTAACTTTTCTTTTTTCACAAAAGAACCCTTTTTTCTCCACCAATCCATTGCACTCATATTTCCCTTTCGCCTTTGCTTCCCCTCAACGTTCGGTAGCCAAATCATCATTCCTTTTTATAATATTACCCCCTTAGTCTTTTTCAAAGTCACAATTATGTCCTCTTAGTTTTCGTAAATCACATCAGTTATGCAACTTTCAACATGATGGTATTTTTTTTGTTTCATATTTCTACAATAAGTATCTTATTTGACTTTTTTTTTTAATTAATTTATTTATTTTTTTGTAATTCTAATGAATAATCGAAATTTTATTACTATCAACTTAATTATGTAAAAAGAATTTATCATAAGTTGATGTTAAGTTATATAAGAACTAAAGAATTATTCGCAAGAAGAGCTCATGAGTATTGAACCTTTATCTATTAGCAATGAAAGAGTGTGCATCTATAGATGTACGGGGCATATGATTCAATATCAATAAATACTTTCATTACAATAATGATGTTTGTTTGATATTGAAAATATTATACAAAAATACCTATAGAAAAATCCAATTCACTTAAATATGTGGTATCTCCTCCCTAATAAATAATTTTTTTTGTGACATGTTACATTCTTATTTATTTTGCTACATGTAATTTTGTAGTTATTATAAATTAATTTTTTATTTCATATGTCATTTTATAGTTTTTTCATTTTATTAAAATCTAGATAGTATTTAAATACAATAATAAATTCATATCAATTTCATTAATTAACTTTCATTTTAATTTTAAAATTACTAAATTAAAGATTCATTAATTTTCTTTATTTATTTATCTAATTTATTTTTTTAACTTTAAAAGAGAAAAAAATACTTTAATTTTTATAATTCAATATTTTCTTATTTTTCTTATAAATTCAAACTTCTCAAACGTTTACAATTTTGTATTTAGTTTTTTTTTTCTTTTAAATAAATTCATGTAATATATGAGTCTCACACCTAGTATGTAGTATACACAAACGTAATCCTAATAAAAAAACAAGATATATATGTTGTCTATAACCAAAATATTAAGGTATATATTATATTATTTATGAAAATATGTATATATTGTTAGAAATGATTTTTTGGTAAGTTTTGAATAATAATTTACACCAAATAAAAACTATAATAGATGCTTGAATAACAATCGTATTTTCTCAATATATATATTTTTAAACCAAACAAAATAAAAAAAATGCTAAATAAATTCCAAATGTAACCACCAATAAAAAGTTGAAGGTGAAGAATTCAATTATAAACAATAACAAAGGGTGTATTTTGTAATTCACCAATTGTCATTCCCACATGGAAGGGAATTTGAAAATAAAAAATAATATAAAAAATGCAAAAATAGTTGTAGTGGTACAAATCAGATGCTTCCTCCTCCGTGCTAGTTACAGTTGTGCCAAACCTACATACAGAGAGAGAGAAAGAAAGAGAGAAAGAGAATGTGTACCCATCAATAGCTGTGGTTAGACTCTCATCATCTCACACAGCTTCAAATCCAATCAAGTCTCCATATTTCAGAGGAAAAAAGGTTGATAATTGAGTTGCAACAAGGGGGGGCAAAGAGGTAGTGAGTGCACAGATGCGTTGCAAATGGGGAAATCCGAACCCCAATTGCCAATTCACAACCAACAGGAGCAGAATCATGATGGGGTTTTTTCGTTTGTTCGATGTCCGATGTGTTTCTCGAGAATCGCTCGGTTTTGTAGTTTCAAATGCGTGTTTGTTTTGCTTCTCAGTGTTTCTGTTCTCCTCACTGCGGTTTTTTCAATCTTCCATTTACACCATAGACAATCTGGGTTTGATGCAAAAGCTTCAATCAAGCACAGTGGTAATTCTTTTGTGATCGTGTTAGATTTAAACAGTATGATTTGGGTTTTTGTTTTGTTTTTTATTTTGAATCTCCTTTAACGTGATTAGGGTTTGTTTTTTGTTGCTGATTGATCATATGATCTGCAACGATCTGGGAATTGTCTTGCTGTTTGGCTTAAATGTTAATTTTTAGATTGTAGATTTGAAATTAACGTTATTCTTGCAAAATTGAGCAAATGCACTAATTTGAATTATGAACAGTATCTTTTTATATACGATTGTTAGATGTTGATTTTCATACATCAACTTTGCTTAATAGTATTCTCCTAGCAATGATCTGAGATTGGATCTGCTTCCTCCTAATTTTGAGCAAAATCTTCATGTATCTTATGATTGCAGCCACTGTACAAGCATATTTCAGATTACAAAAGCCTATTTCATATCTTCTTCCTCAAATCGAGAGACTAGAGTACGATATAAACGCAGAAATAGGCGTTCCTTACACAAAGGTTTGCTAATAAAATCTTTATTCATCATTTAACTTCCACCCAAAAATGCATCATTTTTCATTTACATTATTATTACAACCACCAATTTGTTTTGTCATGATTTACAGGTTGCGATTTTATCGATGCACAAAGCAAGCGCATCTAATTGGACCCATGTGGTGTTTGGATTTGTCCCCGATCCCATAAATTCTCCAATAAATCTTGTTTCTTTAAGTGTTTTGAGACCATTGTTACTCGATCTGTTCAATCGACGTCTCAATTT